GAAAGTGTTTTCACCAAAGAAAGAGCCTCCAATCTGAGGGATTGCAGGTGAGCAGCTGTTTTCACGGATTGCAGGTGATGGAATGGTGGATGAATAATTCAGTTAGTGCTGGATACAGAATATTTATGATTAGAATTTAAGTTGCCTTCACTCTACTAAAATTATTATAATGCCACGAGATTGGTGTCTTTTATTGTCCACATTATCAATAATTTTGTCCTGGGGGTGATTTTTGAGCACTGATTTTTCTGACTATTTTCATATCTATGATCCAAACAGTAGGTTTTGCCTTTCACCTTTACACAGTTTGTGCCAATGGAATGTTTCCACAGATCGAGACTGATAATTTTCTGCAGTAGACGTTTTATGGTTTCATGCTCAACAATTTGACACAGGACATTACATCGTTACATTCCCCTGTGATAAACCTGAGTCAGCAGAACTTTACACAGCTTATTGTAGTTTTATCTTGCCAGAATATCCTAGGAATGTGCTGCGTTAATACAACATGCGCAGTTTTCCAAAACCTTCTTTCAGTAGTGAGTGAGTGAGTTTATTTTTACGCCGCTTTTAGCAATATTCCAGCAATATCACGAAGGGGAACACCAGAAATGGGATTCACACATTGTAATCATGTGGATAAAGTTGTTAATTTGGAAACTCAAAAAATATATTTTTAAAAAATCACAGCCAATCAAAAGGCACAACTTCACCACAAGACCTATGTACGTGCCAACTTTGGTAAAGAATTATTGTACAGTTTTCAAACATCTTGCCCGCGTAGACGGACGAATGGTGTCTATCTTAATATATATTTGAAACGCGTTGCGTGGCGACACATATAAATGAAAAACGATACATGTACATTAGGCTACATTAATGATAATTATTATTTATTTATATATCCACCTTTTACCAGAAGCGTAGACTTTTCGAGAATAACTGTGTCAACACTGATTTCAGTGGCCCGTTCCTATCATTTTTACTATTTTGGCTTTTCAAGACCAACGGGATCTGTTTCGGTCGATATTCGAGACTGACGCTGATGTTTTCTATTAGCTGTGAGTGAGTTTAGTTTTACGCCGCACTCAGCAATATTCCAGCTATATCGACGGTCTGTAAATCATCGAGTATGAACCAGACAATCCAGTGATCAACAGCATGAGCATCGATCTCCGCAATTAGAAAAGGGTGACTTTTTGCTTGATTGGCATTTTTGAAGATGCTATTTCATGAACATAAAGAGTTTTCTGGATTGCATCTTCGTTTATTCTTTGATAACATTTCGGGGCCGGAACAGGCCCCATCATCAGTTTAACAGTTTTACCTCATGATGGGGTTGTATCAAAGAATAAAAAGAGGATGAAATCCAGAAAATCCTTTATGATAATCAGGATGACTGTCGTAAATATACAAAACTTAAACAAAAAACCTTAGGTTTAGTTGTTTCGTATATTTGAAAAAAATGCGAAACAAATATATGCACTACGTCATAGATATCGCACCACCCACTTCTTTTCAGTAAGTAATACTGGAACTACAACCTCATAAAAATGGTGCTTAGAAAAAGCACATTAGACGTTTAGATGGCCTCATGTGAGCGTTCAGTCAGAAAATTGACGACAGAAGACCGAATTTGAGCACTAATTGAAGGTTTCGTTGTAGCCAACTAAAGTTCACCAAAATCACATTAAAATAAGGTGAAATAAGTCTGGCTGCCGGGGTCGTTACAACAGACACACAACACAGTTCACATTTCATTAATGTTGAACACACTAGTAAGGTCCACAATGACTGGCCAACTCAGTATCTGGTGTAACCGCCTCCAGTTGGATAACATTTTCTACACGCCGTCTCATGCTGGCCACCAGACGTCTGATTCTCTGTTGGGGGATCTGCTGCCACTCATCATGCAATACATGGGTCAATTCCTGAAGGTTCTGAACTGGAGGATCCTTTGCTTTCACCCTACGTCCCAAAATGTCCCACAAATGCTCAATAGGATACATGTCTGGACTTCTGGCTGACCATGGTAGTGTCTCGATGGCGTTGTGTTGGAGACAACAGCTCGAGCACGATGTGGTCTGGCATTATCGTCTATGAAGACTGGACGTTTGGCGAGAGCATGGTTATCGAAATAAGGCACTACGGCACCGTCCAGGATCACTGTCAGCACCGTTCTGGTACCTCTGTCCATTCAATACCCCGGAAACTGTGATGAGGTCAAGTTTAGTCATGGGAAGAACACCCCCACACCATGACGGATCCAACCCCAAATGGAACTTCAGCTTGAATGTCCCTCTGATCATATGCTGTGCCTCTCTGCCTCCAAACTCGTGCCCTCCCGTCTGTCTGATGCAGCAAAAATGTGTGTTTGTGATATTATATTCACAGACTGACTGAGTTTGGTTTTACGCCGCTTTTAGCAATATTCCAGCAACATCACGGCGGTATTCACAGATGGTGTCGTATATCACATATGTACGTGTAGGGTAAAAAAAGGGAAAATTATATTCCTACTTTGACTTTCAAATGGGTGGTGCGATACTTTTGACGAGGTGTACATATAATCACTCTTACTCCGTCTGGTTTGTATTTAGTTGATATTATTAAGATATTGTATAATTGTTTATCATTTACCCCGTAACGACTGATAGATAAACATTTGTATTTTAAATGTATTTTTGTATTTTATTACGAGCATAAAATACCGTAAGTAGGTTTCTGTAAACAAGTTGTTGTCAACCTAGTCAGCAAGCCTGACCACCCGATCCCGTCAGTCGCTTCTTACGACAAGCATGGGTTACTGAAGATCAATTCTAACCCGTATCATCACGGGTCTCAATTAACAGAGCAAATCGCGAAACGATGAAATTTTGTCGAGTTGCAAAAGATTTATGTAAGAGATATATTATGAAGTCCTGTACACCAGATCATTGAGAATTTTAATATTGTCATGTCTTTTACTTTGTTTCCAACAGCGATAGCACACTCAGGACACTACGTGCTTGAGTGTTTTGTTAGTAAAAAGTTTTGTATGAGAATGAATCATGTATTTCAGACAGATGTGCTGATACAAACACTCCCGATAATAAGGTATCCATCGTCCCCTTTGCTCTCCACGTGACTGTCACAAGAGAAAACATAACTGTTTGGTTGCAAATGAATTATTTAATGCCATTTCCTATTTACCCACACTAATTTAGGTATGTTTTAGTTAAATCACAGTTATTCATACAATTTCATATCTTCCAGGGAAGATACTTTATACTCCTTTCCTCCACACAAACAATTTTGTTACTCAATTCTCACACACGGTTCAAAACCTTCAAACCAGGATAGACTTATCCTCCATAGTGTACATGTATTGCAGACAAAAACATCAATGTTTAGACTAATTCTAACGCAAGACTCCCAACAAAGATATTCAAGAAAAAAATATTTTTATACAAAATCATTATTCCTTATTCTCAGACTGAACAAACCATATCAAATTTCTGCTGGATATTAATAAAACCCTCTAACCCTCAATATAATTTTTCATACTACAGTAGAAAGCTCTCGTAAGCCTAAGATTTCATAACTTTTCTCGTAGCAATCGTACCTCCTACACTGTAGCATAGACTGACAGTCGTAGCGCTATGGTGGCTTTGTGGAATGGGGCTCTGGCTTTTATTAAAAGTTGTTGAAAATGTATCAGACAAGTTTTCAACACAACAAATTATGTATGACGAGTGAACATAAGCAAAACATTATTGGAATTGAATTGTATATATATATTAACTTGAATTCTAGTAAAACATTAAAAAAAAAACGTTTGTCTGTGGTTCATCCCTTCAAAGCATCCTAACCCCAACCACTGCATCTGACAGTGGTCCCCTCTGTGGTAACTTCAGTGCATCTCGCCCCAACTATGTACATTATACACACAAACATTACAGCATTGCAAAACAACACATAACAACATGGGAGGAAAGTGATACCAGTCTCTGATGTTTACCAATTTAGTGGCATCCACGTGCATGGTATGGTGCTGAGAAGCAATTTAGGCAAATCACGATTCAAACCCATGATCATATCACAGGCAATTGAATATGAGGAATAACAGGAATAAAACTGTTTTATGTGATCATCTGGCAAGCACAATACATATCTATTCATAATATATGACATTCAAAATGTTGCAACAGGGGTATAATGTCTTCTCCAGAAATGGGCTCCACACATTGTACCTATGTTGAGAATCATACCCGGTCTTCGGTGTTACGAGCAAACACTTTAACCATTAGGTTATCCCAAGTGAGTGAGTGAGTTTAGTTTTACGCAATATTCCAGCTATATGGCGGCGGTCTGTAAATAATCGAGTCTGGACCAGACAATCCAGTAATCAACAGCATGAGCATCGATCTGCACAATTTGGAACCGATGACATGTGTCAATCAAGTCAGCGAGCCTGTCCACCCGATCTCGTTAGTCGCCTCTTACGACAAGCATGGGTTACTGAAGATCAATACTCTTACCCGCACCTTCACGAGTAGGTTATCCCAAGGCCTAATGAACAAGAAAACTCATAATTGCTAATAATAACAACTAATACATTGAGTAGACTTAAATAATACAACCACCAATAATAAAATTAATATGCATGCATATATTGTGTACAAAAGGTGTATGCTCCCTTGTCAATGAATCTCCAACTTAACCTGGTAATATTTTTCTCTAAATAACACATGTAACAAACAATTGAAGAGTGAGTGAGTGAGTTTAGTTTTATGCCGCACTCAGCAATATTCCAGCTATATGGTGGTGGTCTGTAAACAATCGAGTCTGGACCAGACAATCCAGTGATCAACAACATGAGCATCGATCTGCACAATTGGATGACATGTGTCAACCAAGTCAGCGGATCCGTTAGTTGCCTCCTACGACAAGCATGGGTTACTGAAGGCACATTCTAACCCGGACCTTCAGGGCAAAACAAATGAAGACAAAACAGGGGATACATGTAAAGAAATGTAATGTACAAGGCTTTACATATATACATAAATTCATGTATTTTACATTATGTCAGAATCATGTACACAAGCACCTTCAAACAACTATTCAACCCACATTTGGACCAATGAGTTATTACATCACACTTGAATTTCAACTTGGCACTTATTTCCCAGAAATCACAATCTTTGCAGGTATCGAGCTAGGATATTCCCAACTTGGCACTGATCTCCCCCAAATCATAATCTCTCAAGTTATTGATCTAGGAATCCAAACAGCTTTGGCAGCCAAATTTTCCAAATTTGGGCTTCTGGAGCCAAATATCAGTATTTGAAGAGGTCTAGAAAAATCTCTTATGAGACAAACTTGCCTACATAGTTAAAATATTTCTGTAGCACAAATCACACTTAAAGTTCCTTGTCTGTCCTCGGTGGTTCAATATTATGAGCACTGTACACCACAGTTATAGATATATGGAACAAGGATTATAGGCTGTCCATTTTTTCTTTGTCTCCCATCTCCTTGCCTGCCCTGACTTTTCATTCCGATGTCAAATAATAACAAGTTTTCTTAGCCCAGTTTTCCCTGCCGGAGAGGATATTTATGCTCCTATAAAGAAATACACATACTCTTGCCTACTCGTAAGAGTAAGAGAAAATGATTTTGTATATTTCTATGTATTTTTTGGCCTGCCTGCTATCTTACTGGTTGAAATTTGACAAAATATGCATGGCCTAGACATGTTAAACAAAGCATCAAACACATCCATGAGATCGGAGCCCTGTTACACTTACAACATACAACTGACTGTCTGAGATAGGGTCACTTGTTTGCATGACTGCCTGTCAATGGACTTCGGATTTCTTCAACCAACACAAGTATCCATCACAGAAAGAGGGACTGTAGACCCACCTCAAGTCCGAGAATAATAAAGCAAAAGTATATTTTGGCAAGTCAAGAATGATCAAATTAATAAGGCTGACAGTAATATTCGACCCTTCATACAATGGGTTATCAATAAATAAGCCTTGGTCCGAACAACCAGTGGTTGACAGCATGAATACATGCGTCAGTGTATGACATCACACACTGACCCCCACACATACGACCACGTCAGTGTATGACATCACACACTGACCCCCACACATACGACCAACAAAACTAAAGAATAGAAGAGTTTGCCGATGATAAAACAAGACCCATGAGTTCTCATGTTCCCACAATAAATAGAATACATTCCCAAGTAGCAGTTGACGACCAGGTAACCATCCAGTAATCAGTTGGACTGCATGAGATGTTTTCTTCTCCTCACTGGCTTTTCTGGTCCAGCAGCTGGTTTGTTAGTGTTCTCATTCACGTTCTCCTTCTTCTCCACAGCTTTCTTTGTCGATCTAACTTTCTCATTTTGTTTGTCTCCTGGATTGTTCTGGGGTAGGGCTGGTAGTTTTAAAGAAGGTCTCTGTGCAGCTGTGCCACTGCCAGCTCCAGGAACTCCTTTTAAGGCAGCTGGTCCAGGTCTGAGTTTGGATGCTTCATTCAACTGTTTTTTTCTTTGTTGCGCTTCTGGTAGCGCTTTACTACGGTTTTGAGTTTCTGGGATTGCAGTATTGTTGACAGCAGGACCAAGGGTAGAGGGACCCGTTGTGTTTGCAGGAACGTGAAAAAAGTACAACTGAAATGCCAAATTATACATTTATCATACCTTATTACATTATATGCCACAAAACAACTTTGATTTTCACATAACCAATTCAACAACAATGATAATAAAAATATTTTTTTTAAAGTGTGCAGATATATGCAATTAGTATGACTCAGGACTCAGGATAAGAAAGGTAGTAATGATGATAATGATGACGATGATGATGATATATACTTCCCCTCCACTCTATGTTACATTCCTGCTTCACACTGGTACAAGAATCTGTATAGAAACATCGTCACTCCCGAAATAAAGAAGTTGTTATCCATAAAGTTTTCAATACTGTACTTCCGAACTTCTAAAATGCAACCCAAAGAAGTTATTCTCCCAAAACTCAGTTGAAATGTCCTATATTTTTGGAACTTCAAAACAAATCTGTGTTATTCTTGTGACCTGCAATAAAAGTAAAGTTGACAGTCCCTAAACTTTATCAGTTGTCACCTGGATCGAAGTGTCTCAAGGCCTGTGTACCAAAAGCAGGTATAATCTCATACACCCTGACTGAGGGATCCATTGACAACGAATTTATCTTTACCACATACGTTTCACTAGCTTAGCAAACTTCTCCATGAGCATGGCTACAGAACAGTTTTATGAACATCATGACAGTAGACAGAGGATGTAAAACATATCCAGAGTTATCTCCCTTGCATTACTTAGACATGCCCAGTTTTGCTAAACAGCATTTGATAGGTATTCAGTTCCAAGATAATATAAAACATACCATTGTATTAACACTGGGAAGAAGATAAGCACCTCTCAGGAGGGAAAATTGAAATTGTATCTTATCTCGTGGCATGGACGGTGAGGAAACATAATGTAAAGTAAGTCACCAATCAGAAAAAAGAAATGAGTCCAAACATATCATATTTCTGCTCACTACCTGAACGTCCACTGTACTCGTGTACATATACAGAAGTCAATAAAAGGAAATGAATGATTAATAAGATGGGCTACTTACAACAAAGCCAGCTGCTAGGGCTGCATGAAATATGAGGATCACAGCCATCACAGCAAAAGCAATCTGAAACATTTGATCATTAAAGTTTGAAAATGCAGTTTTGAGCAGTTTAAAAAAGCAATGTCCAGAAATATTATGGATACATTAAGATCCATCAAAAATTCATAAACACTGGACAGTGACTGACTGAGTTTGGTTTTACGCCGCTTTTAGCAATATTCCAGCAACATCACGGCGGGGGACACCAGAAATGGACTTCACACATTGTACCCATTTGCGGATTCGAACCCGGGTCTTCGGCATGACGAGCCAACGCTTTAACCACTAGGCTACCCCACCGCCCCAAATGGACAGTGGAAGAGAGAGAAGTTTGAAACATTTCAGTCATAACCAGTGTTTGCCCTTAATCCTGAAAAGCTGCATCCCCTAAGGGCCCAGAACCATAAATAGTTGTGGGTCCTGATCAAAATGTGTAGGCCCTATATTTTAGCTACAAGAAAAGTAATTCCCAGCAAACAAAAAGTGTGACAACTAACATACTGAGTTAAAGAAATTTAAACTGGAAATTACCGAATGATATTTTCTCATAAATAATACTCGTAGTTATTGGGAATGAAAAAGCTGTCGGCCATATGGACCAGCAGAAAACAAAAGCTGTGGGTCCGAGTGGTCTTCAATCGGCTTCGGGCCTAAGGACCTAACGTTTATTTCAAAAGCTGGTCATAACTCATGCTACTGATGTATGTGGTCAAACTGACAAACCAGTAACCATGGTAATTGAGGAGTTGGGTTTAATGTTACAGAAATACATGTATATGTCATCATCAGGACTCCAGCATTCTTATCTGTTAAACAGCCGTTATAACCTTTCAAATGACACCAAACGATTTTGTGTGTTTATATGTGTCTGTATGTGTGTGCATCTGTGTATCATGTGTATGTTTGTGTAAGTCACATGCTCAAAATGAACGTAGCTATAATCCAAGTATGTCTTCATTTTGTAAATAATCACATTTGAGAAGACAATTCTATGATTAACATTAGGAGCGACAATAATAATAATTGCATTTATATAGCGCATCATTCACTAATAAATGCTCTGTGCGCTTAAGATCGAAATTGACACTTGAAAAGAAATGGTTTGATGCCAGTCTTAAAAGATGTTTTGGAGTTCAAGCAGTAGCGCGTTCCACTTCATTGCTGCATTGAAAGCGAACGACCTTTGGCCAAAGTTGGTTTTCATGTTTGGCACTGTCACTAGCATTTGGTTTTGTGATCTCAGTGAGCGTGAGGGCTGATACAGGGGCAGTAACTCTGCGAGGTAGTCAGGGGCCATTCCGGACAATCCACCAAAGTTGACCACCTGATTCACTCAGTAGACTAAAACTATCAGTATAGGCGACAAGGGTCCCGTTCTAACCTTGAATCTCTATCAGATCCCTACTAGCATGTGGCATGGTAGGCGAGCTGGCTTAGGCACCATGCTAGTGATTCAGCAAGCTTGAGGTGTCAGTATTGCGCCCACCTGTGACCGGGTGTAAAAACCTTTGAGTGCAGACTCTTTCAGTGTTGTCACAACCCCTAGTGTACAATACACAACCCAGTGCACTTAAAAGAACCCACAAATCCATTGGTATATGACCAGATGGTGGCCACATGAATACATGCTAACACTTGAACAAAACTTGAACAAAGTACTGTGACTACGTGTCCCAGTCCACCCAGCTGTGAATGGGTAGCTCGTAAGGATGAGAAAGCCGCAATAACTTGGTGCGCCTAGTGGCTGCAAGTGTTGTATACTCCCCGGGGAGTTGAGATTGATAATATGATGTGCCGTTGAGATTGACATCCAATGATCGAGGGGAATAATATCTGCGCCTTGAGCATGTACTAGTTGTGTGGATATCTGCGCTATATAAATATCCTATAATAATGATAATAAAATAATAATAGCAACGGGTCACATTCTACCCCAGGTCCCAACACACACATTCAGAAATCTTACCCCAGGTCCCAGGCCAGAATGTGAATATCAAAACCACTTCCAGAAATCTTACCCCTTTTGTTGTAACCAGTTGATCTGGACAGCAGGCCACAGAATGTGAATATCAGAACACTTCCAGACAGTGAGGGCAGCCCCAAGGATGACAATATCTCAGCCATATCTCGAGAACATTTAACCAGTTGATCTGGATGGTCCACAGAATCTGAAAAGCAACATGCAAATTCATAACTCACAACTGAAAAATAGGGTTAGAAAATCACATGTATTGTTTTGCAAAGAATTTATCATCAAGTTCCAAAAACAAATAGGTCCAGTGAAGCTAGGAGGTTACTGGTTTTTGATTATCGATTATTTTTGCCAGCCCTACCAATGGTAGATGGTTATCACAGGATTGTCATCTAGGGGGCAGACTATTGGCAGTAGACCCTAACTTCCCACTTATGAACATAGAAAGGAGTGGCATTGCCAGCAATGCACGAGTGTCAGTTTGCACCCCTGTAACCAGTGTATGAAATAAGACCCGTCCGACCGACCAAGACGGGCTAGATTTCTGACGGACGGTCTCCATTTACAGCTCGCAAGCCCGATGGTCTGGTAAAAAACTTTAGAAAACATGTTCCATACATCTGAGTAATTTTCTTTGGATTGTCTGGTCTGGTTAAATTCATTTTGGGCTGGTAACACATTGAAGTTACCAGCCATGATGTCTGACTGGGTTTGCGGCTTATTTCATACACTGCTGTAACCCTTCACCCCTGTACCAAACATTCCAAGGTCTTCTGTAACCAATCTAGAATTGGAAAAGTTCTTGGACCCTTGCCACCTTTGGATTTGGAAAAGTTCTCGGACCCTTGCCAATCAGGATTTTGATGAAAGAAGCATACAGCAAATGCAAAAGTGTGAGAAGTAACCAGTGTGAACAGGACTTTTTTCACAAAAATGAACTAGGGAAGAACAACAAAATGCACTACAAAAATATTATTAAGAAAACAACATGTTGTACAGTATGATATGAAGACAAAAGAAGAAAGTTGAAAGATGTCTGGCTGACTTCTCTCTATCATGTCACTCATACAAGACACTCACCGATATAGGAATGTAGATAGCCAGAGAGTAGCCATAGACACTGATGAGTTCTAGAAATGTGTAGCGAGACTGACTGCCGCGCCACCACAAAATCTCGAACAGAGCTGCTGGGATCAGCCACCAGTAGCTGAAGATAGCTGTCGCTGCGAAGGTTACTGCAACACACACACTTACTTACAGTCACTTGTGTTATTACATATTATTAACCATGTTAATATGTTATGTTATATAACAACATCAACAACAACAATAATATTGTAAATCACAGATTTTACCATGACACTTAGGAAGTTAATATAAAATAAATCTCTCACTCATGTTCATCACTTCAACGTGCCTTTCAAAGAACTCAGTTGACATGTGTATGACTGTTTCTCAGTGTTCAGCATTACTTGGATTACATGTTTGTGATTCCTAAAACAAGTGCTTGTTCTAGCTGGCTGGTTAATGATAGTAACATCATTGCATGTATGAAATACACATGCTATGCACAATGACTGAGCATGTTGAGTTCCTCGCACATGAAGAGTTACTTCCCTTCCCTAACTTGTCAACACACTTATCAAGGTTCAGGTTTGGAAAATCAGTAAACAACAAAGAGATACATTTCACAGAACACACCCTAATATGAAAATTCATAAAGGGGTGTGTGTATTAAAACCATATATATTATGAGAGTTCAAACACCAATGTAACCAAAATGTTTTTGATGATAGGTCCAAGGCAATCATATACACATATAGACTACTTTATTCCTTGACTGGTTGGTTGGTTTGTTGCTTATAACGCAACACTTAAGAAATATTCCACATATATTTTCTGTAGGTAATCGAGTGTGGACCAGACATGTCGATCTACGCAATAGGGATATGATGACATGTAAGCCTCATAGACAATCAAGCCAGCAAACATGTAACTTACACACATAAAATAGGGTTATAACTGCATTTTCCTTTCAGTTTTAAATTGGATTGCTGAAGAAGAATTCTTAGAGATCGGTCCAGAAGTTAGTTTAGGAGTTAATTCAAATTACTGGTAGAGAATGCTGAATGCACTGAATACAGCAGGGTTCAACAGCATTGAAGCTGACAGATGGCTCCGGTTGGGGAATTTACACTGAGTACATTCATAAATGTTACCAGATCAGTGTTCATGGTAGGAAAAAGGTCCCCTAAAGCATAGCCCCAAAATCTTGCGTGGGCATGCACCCAAGCTATAAAGCGCCATTTCCCCTTGCATTTCAGCGTCATTTCCATGCATTTCAGAGAATGTTGTCATCATTGACAAATCAAATTAGCTGAGAGAAACTTCATTTTATTTTGTTGTTTCCTTGGGGAAAATACATTTTTCAATTACTTGTTCCCAGAACACATGCAGAAATATTGTGCATGAAATGTTGATTTATTTGCGAGAAACACGCAGATTTTTGCGTTAACCTGAACACTGCAGACGGATATAAGTTAAGTTACCTTTATGAAAGTCATACTTCCATGTGTAGCCTTTGCCAGCAGCTTGAAAGTAGTTTGCCAAGTTGCCTGCAATGGCCGTGGTGAACACCAGTGTGGTGCAGATCCAGAATGGGCCTGGAATCATGGGGAGGAAAATATGGTCATCATCATCATCATCATCATCATCATCATCACACCCACAATTCTTAATTGTACCCATGCAAATTTGGCACCTTTTGACAACAGTGCACAATTCTCACCCACGAACGGTTTTCCACATGGATACAATGTGTGAAGTGAGTCATGTCATGTAAAAATCTGTGAGTGCCAGTAAGTGAGTTTGATAATTAGTGGTAACACACTTAAGTTCCCATTTGGCATTTCTTGTGTCTGGAGTAAATATTCAACATTATAAACATGGTTTTACACCATCATCCATTATAGCAATATTCCAGCAGTCATCATGGCACCCACAACCAGATATGGGCTGACTTGATGAAAACAAACTATAATCTCATTAATTCTTGGTTTTCAAAACATCATCTTGTATTTTGTATCATGGCAGCCGAGGTGGGTCAATCAATATAATACTACTTACAATATTATTGGGACACCATGCGTGGAATTGAACCCAGGTCTTCAGCAGGATGAGTGAATGCTTTAACTACTAGGCTACCCCCACCGCCCCCAAACATGCAGAACACTAATTGACAAACATGTCACAAGATATATAACTTCACATCAAATAGTACAGACTTACAATAATAACTTACAATAATAACTTCATGTGACTATCATACAATTCACTATCACATCTATAAATGTAGAAAGGATACAAAATCCTATAGAGTAGAAAATGAAGGAATTAAACATTTAACCATAATAGCAAGCAGTGCACTGACCATACAGATCTGGCTTTGGACGTATCTGCGTTGTGAGGAAGTTGCGGCCTGGCCGTGGCGTCATTGACCCAAGTACTCGGTACATGACTTGATGTGTGTCTACATCAAAGAACTGCTGGTAATATTCAAATGTCCAAAAGGATGGTGGCTTCTTTTCATCTTTCAACAGCTGAGGATAAACAAAACAGGAGGTTTAGTTGTGATAATTACAAAATAGTTTCACCAAAGGACTGACTGAGTTTAGTTTTACGCCGCTTTTAGCAATATTCCAGCAATATCACGGCGGGGGACATCAGATATGGGCTTCACACATTGTACCCATGTGGGGAATAGAACCTGGGTCTTCGGCGTGACGAGCCAACGCTTTAACCACTAGGCCACCCCACCGCCCCTTCACCAAAGGAAGACTAATCATGTTATTGTTAATGAGGTGAGGTGAAATTGGATTTAACGTCGTGCTTGAGAATGTTTCGCTCATATGATGACGTGCATGCGTGTGTATGTGTATGTGCGGCTGCTTGTACTAGCCCAGACTTAAGCTGGTTTTATAGTGCTAGCCCACTGAGACATCATGCCGCAGTGAAGCAGGAATACCCCACTTAGACACAGTATACTGACTCGAGCCGACCAGTCCTTGTTGTACCCATTAATGCCGAGAGCCAGGCAGGGACCAACAAGTACCATATTTTAACGTATTTTGGCACGACGCGGTCGGGGATCGAACCCACGACCTTCCGCACTCCGGGTGGACGCTCTAACCACTACATCACGGAGGCGGTCTTATTGTTAATGATGTCAATGTTTTAAGGGAATAAGTGAGAAGAGAATTCCAGTTACATCATTGCGATTCATATTTGTAAGGGAGGCCTGAAGTGATGTAGGTCTTCCATGTTTACCACTTCATTAAAACCACATGCATATGGGGCTGATAAATCTAGAAATGTATCATGAGTAATGAGGATTTGAACCTACAATTATAGGTTTATGCATGCCCAAAGGATGCAACTTCAAATCAAACTGTGGTGCCATGGACGAATGGGCCCTTCAAGACCCTCATTGTTTTAAGAGAAAGAATAAGGCTTCTCAGCAAACCAGCAAGGGTGAGTGAGTGAGTTTAGTTTTACGCCGCACTCAGCAATATTCCAGCATGAGTTGAGTGAGTGAGTGAGTTTAGTTCTATGCTGCTTTTAGCAATATTTCAGCAATATCATGGAGGTGGACACCAGAAATGGGCTTCACACACTGTACCCACGTGGCGAATCGAACCAGAGCCATTGGCGTGACAAGCAAACACTTTAACCACTAGGCTACCCCACCGCCCCCAGCATTAGTTGAAGACTTGCTCATGTTCAAACACATTATTAGAAAAGTGATTTCGCTAAACCTTGAAAATCAACATTTGAGCCTTGCCTCTTCATCCATCAGGTTCGTTACGTCCTCAAAACATTCAATGCACAATATACATAGGCACTGACTGATTTCAGTCATCGCAGTTCCTATGGCACCTTACAGAGATTCAAACTTTCCTACCTCTGATTTATCCCCTGCATCATCATCAGAGTCGGCTGTGTGGGGGAAGTTTGTAAAGGTGTGAGTCTGTACCTTCCCCTTGTCCTCAGAGTGGGGAATATCTGCAATAACAATATTCAATACAACTAACCAAATAGAGGATGCTACTGAAACAGGCTGCAGACTTTACCACAACTGTTCAGTTAGTTTACTTGCAGATACTGGTAAGCAAATGATATAACACTACAAAAGGGCATCCATGACCCTCTACCTGAAAAGATTAATGAATCAAGAAATGCCATAAGTTAAAAAGAAACTTAGGCTCTTGGTACTGTAGTGTGTATTGTCCTAAGATGTCATCCATCATGATCATGATAATATGAGTTACTGTAAATTATACTGAAAAGAACAATTTAATTCTGATTATACTTAGCTGAATGCTTTTCACAGGAGTTGATAATGTCTTTTTTCATGACATATGCCATTCTAATTGAAACTGACATAACACTAGTATTTTTTGGTCGACAATCCATGTACATGAAGAAGAGATAATGTCCAGAGACAATAGACAATACATATGCCTTTGGTGCATGCAATCCTCCATATATTATTTATCATTACCAAATTTGAAGCAAAACATTTCTAGGACCATATGAAACCATGACACAATCATTATATTCGTGACTACGTGGCAACATATACATCAACATAACTAACACTCTTACAACATGTGAACAGAACTTGATCTAGCTTCACAATATCAGTATCATCTCAATTGATTTTACTATTTCAATCTCATTTTTCCATGTAAACTTCTTGCGGCATACAGAATAAAATCAAATACATAACACCTAAATCGGTCAAAGAGTCATGAAGTGTTTACCTTGAAACTGTAACCCATCACTCGATTTGTTCTGATCCTGAAAGTATAAAGTGATATTGATAAATCGGATGTGAAATTTATGATCGAAAACCGAACAATAACAAACTAATTCTCGAAAATATAGTTGTTAATCACAACTTAGTCAAAGCTAATAACTGAAAAAGTGGCGGGAAGAAAAGTGAAATTGTTTATAAAATTAATGGATATGAAGGACATCCACTGTAGTTGGAAGATATGCCTTACAATGAGTGTGTCGTCTTCCACGTCGATCGCAAAGGACGCCATTTTGTAGAATGATGGTACAGGAGCAAATCAGTTTTGCATAAAGTGAAAAAGAAATAGTTTCCGTTTATATAGTTCCAAAAATAAAAAAAATTCATCATATAACCGCTTTATATAAGCTCCTAAGAATATATTTTCGTAATAGTCATCGTGAATAAATGCAAAGCTCCTTACAGAGATACCGCCAAAAGCCACAACTGGGCTTCGTCTTCGCAAGCAGAATGAGGCCATTTGGAACAAAGTGATGCTTCAGAGCTCGGCAATCTATTTGCTGCGGAATAGACAAACCGATATGGCGTCTGCTTTCAAGAACCATGCGGCTCGCATGGCTGGCGGGGTCAAACAATTTAAACCTTCATTTCCCGAAAAATTGAAAGGCGGAAGAATAGAGAAGATTGGTAAGACATGTTGATCGTCGATAAATAGGTCCAAGAATGTGTATACAGTTGACAGTAATTCCAAGGATGATATGTAAAAAGTGGATTGGACATTTGATATTCTCATTTGATGATTTTGTCTCAATCATGATGATTTCAAGAGAATGACACATTTAGTTTGACATCATCCAAATGTCGACTTAGTAACATTCACTATGATGTGATCATACAGTTATGCCTGAACTAAATATTTTTTTTCTGTTAACCCAACTTAGATTCTGATGCAACGTATCACGACTTGTTCTGTTTCTCGTTGCCCTCAAAGTGATTTAGCAAGTAAGCCAAATCAGAATCAAGCCGTTGGTTTATATTAAATACTCAAATAATTCACTGATGTGAACATACCAGCTTTACAAACGCATAGGCTTTTTGACTAAAAAATTGTCTACTGTTGCAGTTTGTGATCAATTAATGTTCTAGAACACAATGCTATACTATGTCTTCCCAATGCCCTATAGGATTTATGAATTCTTGATAAGTACAGAGGGGTGTCAATCTCGAATTCATATATTCATTGTTTCTGTTTCTGTTGCAGCCGATTACTTCAACATGATCTTTCAAGACTACAAAACAGTTGTTGTTGAGACTATTCAAGACATTAAGAAGTATCCAATGAAGTCTTCGATTTACATTTCAACACTTGCAGGACTTGGACTATTGTACAAAACTAACCCCTCAGAGACGAGTTTCAGAACACGGCTCATTCACAGCTCACAAGATTTACTGCTTGTAGGTGAACCTATTAGAAACCCAACCTCTGACAACCATATCCAGGATCTCGCTTTAACACTGAAAGATGGTAAACTGAGGTTTACAAGTTTAGGAATATTAACACTGGTCTGGAGGACACAACATAGCCACTGGTCTGGACTTTATGATGCCCAATGCAAACAGTTGAAGCCACAGTGGTCAGAGTTTCATAAACATGTTGTGGATGTGGGTGTGCTGGGCAAATGGATATATCTGGATAAAGCTATGATTGACTATGACATCAACCCTGAAGAGTGGGATGAGGATGGGAGGAGTAAGCATGTGTGAATATAATCACTGTGTATACTCTTTACTGCAACCATATGCGTGGTTTGTTTTGTGAAAATATTTCATGAAATTCACAAAGTATGATTTGAAAATTACTGAAATACCTGAAAGTTGAGGTGATTGATGGTGATGATCAAATCCTTCTTATTGTTTTCGTACACCATAGAAACAGTCTAGTAGGACTTGTGATCAATTCAGAAGATTAATTTATACCAACAAGATGTAATCTGACACCTGCTAATCAAAAGCCATGTCTGTCAACATGTCTATTAGTCTGGTTAGAACACCTGATGCTGGTCTATATTCTCCACCTGATGGGGTCTGGTAATTCTATGTTTACCAGACCTTGAGACAATGCACATGGATTGTGTAATAATGTGAAGAATCATGTAATAAATTGTTATTTTCTTGTATGAATTATTTATAGTATTAAACAAGAATCAAATTGTATTTGCTCTTCTTTTTTATGACACTGCCCTCTGAAAGTGTAAATATAATGACTTTGGTAGTAAATGAAGCAGGTCCATGCAAATGGAGATGCTTTCAGGGTTTGCCTGAAGATGACATCCTCGATAATCTCCAGGGTATACGTTACGATCACTCCCCACTATACCCTGGATGCATCCACGGCTTGGGGCGATTTTATTACCTCCCTTGGCTGACTCCGCATTCTCACAGTAGCCAATCAGCTAAGCCGCCGTTACAACCAACCTGGCCAGTGTCAACAAAGATAGCGGTCGTAGTCGCGATGGTTTGTTCGCAGTGCCACTCAGATTTTGGAAGGAAATAATAAAGACAAATTCACAAATCTGAAACTTTCAAATAATATATGAAAGAACTCCTTCTACTTCTTTCAGAGTACCTCTGCATCAATTGTGTTGCCAAGTTTAAACGGTTAGATAATTTAAGAAGCGAAAGTGAGTTGTGATTGGTACGCTCAACTTCCCAGCGTAGGTACCTAATTGGATAAAACGCCAGGCAAGGGAGGTAATAAAATCATCGCCCCAAGCCGTGGATGCATCCAGGGTATAGTGGAGAGTTATCGTAGCGTATACCCTGGAGATTATCGAGGATGGAAGATGACAGCTATTTGTTAGTTTGGGTAACACCTATGGGTATAATGGAACAGTCCACTGTCTAGTGAGTAGAGTAGGGTGAGCCTGAAACAGGTTCGTTACTGAGAAGTTTGATTGTTTGTAAATAGAACTTTGTTGTGATTAAATGATAATCTGCCTTCTCTTCTCGACATTTAAACTGCTGATGGAATAATTTAATAAATGATGATGTTGAGTACCTCAGTCTTGTACATGGTTGGTTAAAATTATTGGGATTATAGCTTGTCCAGTTGCCTTCTACAGGTGGGAGTAAATCCTGAAGAAACAATTGGTGTTGTTCTATTTAGTAGGAACTTTTAATTTCTGAAAATCATTTTAGATGCCTTTTTGACAATGTTTTCAATATGATGATGCCAACTCCCGTTAGACGGGAAGGTTAAACCAAAATATTTATGAAAATCAACTGTTTTTATATTGCAGCAATCAAAATTCAAATTAATGTCTTTTCGGCCATCTTTCAAAGTAAATAATATAGCTTCAGTTTTTTTCTTGTGTGTCTATTTGGACTATTCCATTATACTGTGTAGGTAACAGGTAGAAGCTTATCTATTCATTGAACTGGAAATGTTGTTTTAAGGTGTCTGAGAACAGCCTGTCTGCATAACATAGTACTGATTAACATGATTAATGGAATAAACCATTACAGACTGAGGTAATCAGTATGCTAAAGTGGTGTCCATCCAGACTGTCGAAAATTGAAATTTTATAAATTCGATGTTTTGGGTATTATGTAAGGAGGTAATTAGGCATTAACACTATGGCGTTGGACGCTCCGGGCATTAAGAAAAACAAAATACATTATACAGTACATTCTTTATTGTGGCCACTTTGTTATACCGGCATGCTCGAGCATATGTCTCCTCTTTTTTGTCGAATTTTTAAGTGGAATTATTGTATTATTGGGGTTTTTTTTGCTAGATTGTTTGGTATAATTTTGTTTGAATGAGATATTTAATGAGTGGTTTAATTAATTTGGGGTTTGTTAGAATGTGCTTGGAATTGATGTTTGTGCCATATCTTGAAATATTTCGCAGCCATAGAGTAATTTAGATCTGATGAGTGATTTATATAATAGTAGTAATGTTTGTTTGTTGCTACCCCATTTATTATGTGATAGGTATTTAATAATGTTGAGATCTGACTAGCATTTTTCTTGTATGAATTGAGTGTGTTTGTTCCACGTTAAGTGCTGGTTTGCATTAACCCATATTGCTCCATCGTCGGCAAACTGGGATTTGTTTATGTTTTTATGGAGGTTGTTGAATAATATATCATCAGATTTGATGTTCTACGGAGATTTTAAAGTCTCTGTCTGTTAGAAAGGCTGATACAAAATTTAGAAGTGCCCCTTTTTTTTGCGAAAGCCTGATTGAGTTGTATTATATACATTTTGTGTTTCAAGATATTGTGTGAGGCGGTTGTTAACCATACCCTCCATGCTTTTGCATATGTTAGATGTTAGAGATATTGGCCGATATGATTCGGCTTTGTTTACGTTTTGGCCTTGTTTGTGTATGATAAGGGAATGTTTCCAGGCTTTGGGTATTTGACCGTTTATCCAAGCTGTATTATAAAGTTTTAGTAGTTGGTTTATTAATGGTTTGGGGGTGTTTTTAACGTTATATAACTGAAATAGACATCGTTTATGTTACTTACCTAGCTTATATAGTTACATATGTATCCGTGAGAAGAAATGTGACAAATCTGATTCAAATCTAGTTAACTTTTCTCATTTCAACAACGCATACAAATACAAATCTAGGTAACTTTTCTCATTTCAACAACAACGGTTGTGTACTTCTGCCTGTATCTGTATCATTGAGAAGGAAATGTGACAAATCTATATAGTTAACTCAAACTCAGACTCTTTTCTCATTTCAACAACAATAGTACTGATGTCTTCTCCCTCGTTAATTAGAGTAGAGCGAATTAGCGCAGTCTTTCTGCTATTCGCAGGTTCATGTTCTCCAAGGCAGTCGACACCCAGGGTGTTATTAGAGCAGTGTTGAGCTTTTGGACAGTCCGGGTGTGTATTCGATAAAACATTCGACAGTCCGGGTGTGAACCGCTAAAGTGTGTGCAGTCAACCAGAAATGTTGTTATAAGCTGTGGAAGTTTTGGGAGGACACCTGAGACACTACTTCATTACCATACTAATGACAGTCATCAGCAGATCAGTGGAATTTAGGCAATTTCCATACAATTTAGTTTTGCCTGTTATTGAATTATCAAATGTGTGCACAATGTGAGTGGCTCCTGTTATGTCAACATTTTTACTGATGCTCATATTTTGTACATATATATTGCATTAGGAGGGTCTCCTTTACCAAGGAATAGTCCATGACAAGCAGCACACGGCTACAAGTGTGTGAAGCAAACGTAATATGATGTATGAAAGCTGTTTGGTTGGTCTCCTACCGTTCACTGACTGTCCAGTCAGGGAAATGAGGATGTCACAAGTTATGTAGATGTACATGTAATATCACTTTTGAGGTCACCTATATCTGAAAGAATCATTTACTAAGCAAGTCGTATCGTACACATAAATGTATTTACCTGTTTCAGTACTGATGTTGTACTTGGAAGGAACTGAATACATAAACATACAGATTTGTAGCACAGGCCCTCGTGTGTCTGCGAGGATTAAGATTAAAAAAATATATATTTTGAGATGCCACCCGACTCGAAATGCTACACATTAGAATACATCATGACCTTATCAATGTTGTACTGTGAAGCATTTCGCGTCGGGGGGCATCTCAAATTTTTATATATTTTTAAAAAATCTTTAATCCTCGCAAAGACCCGAGGGCCTGTGGTTTGTAGGTGATCATAGCTCCTTTTCATTCAAAGTCAGTCGCATACATTTGTCACATCGAGTGAAGACTAAATTCATCCAAAACAAACAATACGTCTCCAGTACCCAATGCTTGTGAAAACGAACTAACAATGGATTTGACGTGTGAGATGTCTGATAGTCCCATTGGCACAATTTATCGCTGGGTTGTCAGTTTAAGACTGATCACACTGTGATAAAGCCACAACCATACGATTACTGGTGCTCAAAAATATCCACAGGTAACCTTTTGTAGTTGATTTATTAAGAGTTAATTGTACTGCAGAATAGGTAATCTCATTCCAAAGCAACACTTACGCACTGTCCATTTCACTTAATGAAGAACCGGATTTATAAGTGAGCCTACAATGAAACACCGTTAATCAGAACAGTAACGTTGAGCTCACTCAACTGAAATCGTTTGGATTAACAGACAACAGTAAAGATATTTCATTCATGTGTAGACGTTTCCAAAGAAACTGAGAAATCTTAAGTGATTGTAAAGTGGATGTTTCGAACCAAAGTGGGTCGTTTATGTTCACACACACACTGTGAAGGTTGTCTGTTGCAATACACACCAATCATAAGATAGTAACTACGGTCATAAAAAAAATATAAATTAAATAAACAAAACATTGGGTGTTCGTTTACATATTTTAGGTAGTTTATGAGTAATGTTACAAACAGTGGTCGTTTATTGTTAATATATTTTGAAGACCGAAGCATGTAGCACAAGAAATATTACACTGCTACTATATGCAGTTATGTTAAATAGCAACTGAAGTAATTTGTAGAAATATGTAAAAATGGAGTATACAAGATATATGGTAACTACCAATGTCAGTACTGTTTAATTAGTTAGTAAGGTTACGATCGTGACCGTGGACAGATGCTTGTCAGGCACTAGATTGTAAGCTGCAGGAAATTGTTCACAAACCTTATACAGTGCTTACACTGGTAGTTGACATGTGATTTGTTCATAGCGCGCTGATCCTCGCAACAAGATTAGAAATGGCTAAATGGGTTTCCTTTGGCCACAATGAAAATCAGTGTAGGTTTTACTTAATTGGCTTGTCTATCATCTTCAGGCATTCCAAAGAAACCCATACCTATCTGTGAAATATGTAAACTTTAAACAGACATAGCCACACGCATTGCGTCATATGTAATTACGTGTTTCGTATCTGCACCCATAAATGCGTGAACATTTTTAAAAATATATGAAAGTTGTTTCCCTAATTGTGTAACTTATTCTATGAACCTTTTCAGTTTGGATATCTTGGTGATATTCCAAAATTCATTTCT